CTTGCTTCTACCAGTCATTTAAGTCAACTCCCATATTGTCCTTCAAAGTGAAGGTTAATGCAGATATATTGTAAATTACACAGAGGTAACACTACAATACATGTCCCTTCACATTCCCCTGTATTACATAACAATCTTTGAGCTGAGGCAGTTATGGTTCTACAGCCATCACCAGTTCTCTTGTATTGCATTTTGATTGTACATGTATTCAGTTTGTTGGTCGCGTCCTTGTTACAAGTTGAAAGCGCCACTACCGCCCGTATCGTTTTATGCTCTCGTTCACGTGGAAGACACACACAACAAACAAACAAATGAATGTGTGCTACACTTCCTGTCATACACCAGATAGTGGAAGTACGACGACGGAGGTGGCCAAGGGAGATGATATGCTTTTTAAGTCGTGTACAATTTCTCTTACTACCGCCGGTAAGAACGCTGTTTTGCAGTGAATTTTAAATGTTCTGTGTTTCTTATATTAGACTCTAATACGAACTCGTATTCGCTACGCTACGCTAATGTCATTACATTGCCAAGATCAATTGGTTAGTGACTAGCTTAGACAAAGTACAAAAACCTCTATCTAGTATCTCCCTTTTGTTATCTTGTAAGATTGAAAATCAAATAATCGCCATTTTAATATTTCAAAATTTAGTTGAAAAGAACTTCTAACCACAATGCATAAATTTGCATATAGCTAATTTTCGAACAAAGAAATGAAAATACATTTTCCCATCCAAACTTTCACCTCCCACCCAATAGGTGATTTTCCGAACAATTGCGAGATCTCGCGAGATGCATGAAAGACGCGCGTCGAACGTCTGCTGCAAAAATCGAACGATTTGATTTTGAACTAGAATTTCTTTATTTCGCAGCTTACATTGACCGGCCGATCTTCGACAGAGGAATATTGCTTCCGAATACCCTCACTTAATCGAAATTGCCTATCATCAAATGTGGACAGCACATTATTAAGCATGGAAATGTCCCCGAAATACTTTCGTGTTTGTCGAATCCCACGCGTTGTTTGACGCGACTACGACGCTATGACCTTTGTTTGTCCTGTTTTTACGTTCGATTTCACGCATTACGCGTGATTCTCGCAGTGTACGGAAAATGGTCTATTCCATATTCTGCACTAAGTCTGTTGTGTACATACTTATTTCCACAGAATACTGAGTATGTCTATTAACTTCTGTCATCCTGTATACCAACCCCATATATCAACATCATCGGTGTCTTCGGATGGCTACGAAGTCAATAACCTTATCAAGGCCAGAAACGGCATCTTCAAGACTCCAGGATTTCTTGCTGCCCATTTCATCAAGCCACCGGTGGATATCGTTTGTGAATTTCCATGTAACATATATCTTGATAAGATTATAATTGATCCCTGTGTAGGCGCCCAGAAATCAAGCAGTTTTGAGGTTTTTACTAAAAGCATACCTACGCATTCTCGTGAAACTTGGCTGTTCGATAGCGATGCTGTGAAAAAGAGTGATGCCCCAAGAAGAGCATTAAGAAACTGTTCTGATGTAGCCGTGCCTGTTGGAAAAGCATTCAGTCTTGAAAATGATATGACCCAATTCACTTTCTTAAACAGAAGTTTCAGAGCCAGGCCTCCATTCTTTAACAACGACAATGTTACAATAGAAGCACCTGGTTTTGTTGTGCGCGAAATGAAACACCATTCACCACAGTCACTAATGAATGTCAGTCATGTTATTATTCGCATAAGTCGAGTCGTTAGCGGTTCTGTACCAGCACTAGGAAGACTTGAAATATATGGACAGCCTGCTAGCTTTCATAACAGTGAAATTCGAGATAAAGTGTACTCCCTATATAAATCACTTAGTGAGAAACCACTGAAGAAGAAAAAGAAAAGTTCCACTAGCTCTGCAACACCTGTGACTAGTAGACAGAGGTCAGAAAAAAATCAAATCTCTAAAAATATCCCAGAATGCTCTGTAGACTTCATTGATCCAATCACATGCGAGGTGATGTCACTTCCTGTTTTATTACCTTCAGGAAGTACTATTGATCAATCAACTTTAGATAAACATATAGTGTCTGAGGCACGGTGGGGTCGAAAACCCAGCGATCCCTTCACAGGAATTGTGTTCACTGATACTAAAAAGGCAATACCCAATGCAAAACTCAAATCCAGAATAGACCAGTTCCTCTTAAAGGGTGGTGATAGGTTGAAATCTGTTCCAAGAACAGTTGGCAGAGCAACTGATTTACATAATTTTGGAGTATCACCAAGTGCCCTTGTTAAAGACTTGCAAGCTATTCCAAGGAATGCAAATGATGCAGTAAATTTAAATGAGGATATAGCCAAAGTTGGGTTGAGCAAGGAAAGCGAGGTCTCGCATGAAATTAGGACCCGGAAAAGAAAAAGAAAGCAAAATCATTCAACTGAAGAATTGGGAAAAAGAACAAAGAACGTATTAGATGATACAGCTACAGTATCAAGAGAAAAACCAAAAGAAAGACTGCCCTCTACAGTCACTACTACACTGCCACAGATGGCGCTGTCCTCCAGCAGAATGTTGCTTAGTGGGAAATACAGAATGAATGTAGAAGTTCCTGTTCCAAGTAGCAGTGGTGGTGTTTGGAAAGGTGCACAAGGTATTCATAAAAAATAATTTGTCAATAATCTTTATTAATTCCTTGCTGTATTTACTCCTATAGTAGTACCATGTATTCCCTTGAAGAGAGGCATGTCTACAATAAAAACATATTTTAATGGTCTGGCAATTACTGAATATAATTTTCAATAAATGTTATTTTCAGTTCATGTGTACTTTGATTAAAGGTGTGAATAACATGCACTATACTGCACAGATATTTAATTGACAATAGTGTTTATCATTTAGATCCTTGTCGCGTCTATTTCATGTTCACCACAATTTGTTTAATATATAATTTGTATACTGCATTACTTTGTTTTTTGCTGTAAAAAGCATATTGGTTTGACATGCAGGGTTCTCCCCAGGGCATTTCAGAGTAGGGGTTCCCAACTGTTTAATTTTGCTCAAACAATAGAATTTAGCACAACAATGAATACAATAGAGGAAATTAAGATAATTATTGTTATGAAAATCAGCAGATAGTTGATGCTATTTTCCGGGGAAGAATACTTTCATGTGTTAAATTTTAATATTTAATTTTCATATATTACTTGACGTTAGAGGAAAATATTTTGGAAAATACATGAAAATATAATATTGTACAGTGTACTGTATTTCCTGAAGTAATAATACAAGAATATCACAAAGTATGCCAGAGACATTTTAGTGACTGTATTGATCAACTAGTAGCAGAGGTCAATGCAATCCCATACTGCCCGAGCACATACTTTGCAGTAGTATTCTTGTGATAATCTCATTATATTCTACCAGTATTTCAATTGCCTGAATACATCATTGAAAACGTTTTTTTTTTTTTCAAATTATGTCATTGTTAGATGTATAAATAATGCATGTTGTTACACCTTTACCTTTCGGCCAAATTTTGTTTTGCTAGTTGATGAAGAGGTTTCGGGGTTGAATAGAACATTCTATGTAGAATGATTACATCTTGTGTTGTCCTCTCAACAGACACGAGATCTCATGAAGAAAAGCTAACTTCAAGTCTGGACGATGCTTTGACTGACACACTGAGCATATTTGGCAGTTTCAAAAAGAATTCAAAAGGTGGGTTTATCCATACAGCCTATGGTTCTCATAGTATGCATTAGTATAATGTCATTTGTTTTGTGTGTTTGGAAATTTCTTTTCAACTATGGATTTGGATTTGCCCTGTAAGCCATTTTGATGCATAACTGATGCAAAGGGATTCCAACTGACACAACAAGAAATAATGATTTTGGACACATCATTGAAGCAATCCAAAGAATTACTTTCTCTAAAAAAGGCTTGGTAATATCAAAACGTTCGGTAATTGTGTAAATAAAGCATGATTTGTGCATAAATGGCACAAGATATGAGATAATGTTTGTGGACATAAAATAGAAATTTTGCAAACTTTTTATAATGCATTTTAATTAATTTAATGACCTCTCCTGCTAAAATGCCTATTTTCTCAGATATAAATCTGGTTACCCATTCATTTTTTTCATAATGAAAACCAAACGTTTTATCAAAATGAATTTGTGATTGCCTTCCTTTTCTTGATACTTTGAAATTCTCTTCACCACTGACTTGTTATAAACAGAACAATTTTCTTTCTCTCCCTGGTTTTCCACAGAAACAGATGTACAGCATGACCCAGAAAAACATGAGATATGTTCTACATGTACCAAGGCATCATCTAGTGGCATCACTATGTACAAATTACAGTGTCATCATCTTTTGTGTCGTGCCTGTCTTACGAAAAGATCACCAGGATCCAAACATATCAAATGCTGCAAATGCCACCAGATGTCTTCTCCTGATGCAATCATACGCTTTCATTCAAAGAATGCTCGCTAATCATCGATTTCAATACATTCCAGTCTACTTCTATGAAGCAAAAAACATTTATGCACTGTTTGATCATTCCCCTTAATCTATACAATTACTAATGCAATCTGTCTACTTACTGTCACTGTCGTATTGTTTCATACACCAACACATTGCTAGCTAAGTTGCTGACTGATTTACTGTACACTATCAAGGTTGTTAATTGATTGGAATTGATTAGATCAAACCATTTTTTATGGCGAAAAGCAGGTAGGGTAGTGTAACACTCATGTTCAGAGTACAGTCTCCTTGGTCTTGAAACTAGTAACTTCCAAATCTCACTTTGAAATAAATAAGACAATCATGTAACAATTCTCTAAATCTCTGGTGACCTGGCCTGATGTGTTAGACAGTACTTACTTTTTATGGTATATGACAACTTATTCAAATGCGTGAAATAAATTGAAAGAGAAATGTATCTTCTATTGATAGCCTCGGTACCAACCTGGTCAATATAACAATCATGAGACGCACACAGAAAAACAGTCAGTCAGTCAGTTACCTGGAATGTTGCCGTCTTGTTCGATGGGCCACGTGTGGCATATACAACATATGTAAAGAGCTGATGTACTACCAAAATAAGTCTAAATTTGTTCTTGCGTGTGGAAAGGAAAGTCCTATTGTACAATGTAAATGAACTAGTAAACTTAATTTATTTTCTGCATCATAAATAATGCATTTGTGTTGTGTATTGGTGTGCAATCAATCAGTGAGAGTTTTCATTATCTCAACTCTTTGTTCCAAAGGTTCTGGGAACCAAAGTCCTTTTTCTGCAGGATCTTGATCAGTCAGTTGAGTCAAAAATATATATATATATGTATAGGCTGATTTTGATGTGTTAAAAAAAAAAAAAGCTGTTATCTGATTGGTCTGACTTTTATCCAATCAGGCACAATCTTGTAGCTTTGCATTGACCGTGATGAGAATAGAATTCCAAAAACTTTCGGGAATTGTCAGCTTGAATATCATATTGAGATGCCATCAGTCAAACTGCAGAGATATTTTGTCGTCTTTGCAATTGAAAATTGTGTTTTGTGTGATGAGATTTGTGTTGATGTGTTAAGTGGGACGAATCATAAATATTCTGTACCAGATTGATCTCCATCTCCATAGACAATCTTGTACTTGCTTATCTGCATAATTCAGGAGATTCTAATTGTGTTGAAAATTCTGAATTTACATTATTTTACACCCAAAAATAAGGTAGGTTTATCTTGATAGTCACAAATTTATAAAACTTAAGATTTTATTCAGTTAAGTCATACTTGTCATACCTGTCATGCATTCTTAACAAAATCAAATGTCTAGCATTGAGTAGACGAGTGGACTCGGTGCAGTGACCAAGCCATCATAGTCTCCAAGAGGGTGTCCGCTTGGCCTTGAAAGTACATCATTTTGGCAAACTTAGTTGTTGCAGGCCACATGTATTGTGCCGCATGGTATGAAGCAATGATCAGATAGCATTGCTAATGGTGGGAATTCAGGTGATGAGTATAACCAGGTAATATTCAGGTAAAAAATGATTTGGGCAATAAGTTAGACAACTTGAATGAGAACTGGGTTCTGCCATTTCATCACCATTTCTCAACTCAACATTGCCCAATATGTTTTTCATAAATTTACTGGCTGTGCCAGTCGTATTGCTGCACTGCAAGTCCATAAAGGTGAAAGCGTTTCTTGATGACTGGTTGTTCAGAGATCAGCGAGCGGACGTTTAATCAAGTTTTTGCATTTTGGGGTTTCATTGTGAGTGTAAAGAATTCGTATCCAATTATGAGTTTTGGAGGGCATGACTTTTTCCATAGAAGGTCTTGTACCATAAGCAGCTCTTAGAGTAACTTCAGTGCAAATGTTAGTACTCCAAGCTCAGTGGTGTGGGTCGCCATTGGGAACGAGACTGACATAGACATCACAAAGTCAAGCCTCTCTCATGTTGTTGACCAAACTTGATGTGGTGATTACAGACTCCAGCCACAACTCTCATGGACGTCACAAAAATAGGATTGGAAGCTCAATTCATGAGAAGAAAAGCTCCAAATAATATATTGCAAATGTTGTCCCTGGAGAAATATGCTAGGTTACGTTCTGAATGAGGTACAAATGTTCTAGTTTGTTGTGCCATCTAGACTGTCATCACAAAACCATCTCCTGCACTAAGTCAACTGGTGGAGAGGAAGTGACTGGTACAGCAGATGGAGAATAGAGCTTGAAGACTGTCACATGACAGGAGTGTGGAACAGTCCTGTTGATGTGATGTCCAGGAGACACACATACTCCAGATCTCCAAGGGAATAGCAAACAGACTGTTTGTCTTGAAAGCTAGGGGAATGCCACGGCTCGACCTGCTCATCCCAGACAAGAATACAAGATGATTCCTTGCATACGTGACAAATTCGCTGACAATACTGTGGGCGATTCTGAACGTGTATGTGTTCCAACCATTTCTACTAATTCATGCTGTACTGGAGAAATTACTGGTGATGCCCAAGGTTATAATAACAACCGTAATACCAAATTAGCCAAAAAGACCATGACTTCCACCAGTCATTAGCCAGGCCAGTACACTTGCCGGATGTCCCGTCACTACTGACGCAGGACCATGTGGTACTCCCTATGTGTACAAGTACTGTTTCAATTACACACTTTGAGGTTCTCCAGCATTTTTCTAGCTGAGTGTCTGTTTTATTAATACATATAGAGAAGTTTCTGTGGCTGGTGTAGTCTGAGGCAAGTGGATTCATTGAAACCTACTGTGCCTCTAGTAAAAGATTTTATTGATCATTTATTTCACCTTAAACCCACCACAAGGACACATGGGTAGCATATGCCGGTAGTGTTAAACTAGAAACTAGCTTGGAACTGTTTTACTCCAGTTAGCATGTATTAATTTTATATCATACAAAATATGCCTTTAAAATAGTAATTGTTGCATTGCCCTCGTTCAATAGTGATTGGGACATTAGTTGCACATGACCAAGTTTATGCAGAATGTGTAATTAATATGCATGGATTTCAACCCCAATATAATCAGGTATGTGGATTAGCCAAGAGTATATATGTACCAAGTTTCATTTAAATTTGATGGGTGGTACTGGAGATATATGTGAAAAACCTTATAAATTGGTTAATTTATGCTAGTATTTAACCCTAAACTAAACATTATATGGCTTATCTCAGATGATGTGTGTTGAGATATCACTGTGCGATTGGAACTAGGTATTGGGCATAACCATCATTTAACTATATGGTAAGAACTCCCAGGGTTGATGCGTAACTATTATGTGCGTTCAACACAGTAGCTATTGAAACGTCTTCTCATATATGTAAATGCCAAAGTTGTAGTCAGGATCTTGTACATGCATAAGGAAAGTTCACACCAACTTGACAATCATTTACAATAGTTTAACTTTCATAAAAATTCTCACGTCTTAGTACTTTGGTCTGGAATTGGTATTCTAATCTGTATAGGATATGAATGAACTAAAACTTGTTTTTTTTTAAATACATGTAAAATGTGTGACGGTTTTTTCTATCTGCATGGAAATAAAAACATAAAAAGATGAAGTTGTAAAAATAACTAAGTGTAAGTAGATTATATCTTCTAACCCAGATAAGACTACGAAAACTATATTCTTCAATATTCTCAATATTTCTTTCGCGATCACGCTAGTTTTCGCGATCACGCTAAAAAGGCCAAATAGACAATTAATTATATTTATTTTTGTAAAACAAAACTTTGCCAGTCTAAATCCAGTACTGTGGGGTGCCGACGGGGGGAGGGCTACCACTTTGGCATCGAAAATCGGTAGTGTTGAACTACCTAATGATTCCGCGTTGAATGAAATCTGAATTGAACTTGGGTTTATTGGATGCACTCTGCATTCTGAATATATCAAAGTGCGGAACTACACGTATACTGGTATAGTGAAGTCATTTTCTTGTTTGTATTTGAGTGGGTTTTAAGCCCGGCTTTTGTATGTGTTTTTTTTTTTTGTGAACAAAATTTTTACACGGAAAACTGGAAAATATAGTCTCTCAAACATTACATAAAAATAGAGTTATTCTGCTACGAGTTTCATCGGGACTAGAATATCAACAATGTTGTGTTACTTTAGGACATAAAATACACCCCATAAATGCGGCACCTCCCCGTTAGTGTGTTATTCAGAGTTCCCCGAGCACTGCGTAAAGGCGGCGTTGTAAACGCCAGTACAATTCCAGTTCCACTAACACTACAAGTAACCCTGCTGTGGCAGCCATTATACATACTGATTGAAACAACATTCAGTCAGCGGTATGTTTGTATCATAAATATAGGAAGACAAACATATCATACGGGTAGATGAATGAAACGCCCCACTGTGGCAGCCATTGTTGATTCTCCTCAACAACATCCTGTATACGGGTCTTTCATTGTTGAAATACATGCGGCTGATAAAATACCGGAAAAACGATAAAAATGTAAATGAATTATTGTTGTATTATTAAACTACTACTGTAACAAAGTTTATTTGTCTCTCATCAATTGTGTCAATATTATTGTATTTTTGTTTTGTTTTACAGCATCACTAATGTGAAATAAGTGATTTGACACATTCACAGTTTTTTTTATGTCTTTTCCCAGTTAGACAATTAATGCGAATTATTCCGTAGTTCAAGTGTCGGGTGAAACATGAAACAAGTATTGTTGAATTAGTTAAATGATTCAGCTTTTCTTTAAATGCCAACAATATTCAAAATATTAGAAATTAGGTACATTGTAATTGCCCATCATAATCTCGCGTTCATGATGCAAGTTTCGAGTTCATTCAATGTGGTGAAGTTGTGGGTTGTGGTACACACGTTCAATTTTCGTGCAACAAAACACCGTATTTTAAGCACGTCCAGTACGTTGCAATGAACCCATATCGAATACAGCACACCAGGACAACCACTGCGTTTGTATCACACCTTTTTAAAAACAATTTCATCATAATGATAATTATGAATATTCTACCAACATGTCGGTGGTACTTTAAATTCTACTTGCGGTTGATTACAGAAAAAGCTAAGAATCCCAACAAAATTATCAGCTACATTTCAGACCACTCAAATAATGATTGGTGGTCTGACGGAGATTTATCCAATCATAATGACGATTAATGGATATATCATATTTAGGGGATGGTGACACTTTGTAATAAAAGAGAATTACAATAATGTTGACATAGCTGTGGAATTACACAAACATACTTAGTAGTTGTGTGTATAACGACTATTTAACCACAACCTTCAAATAAACAATGAACAAAGCTTTAAAACAAATAAAACCATGTAACCAGTCTTTTACACAGTTTAGCACAACTTTATTGATTTATGATGTTTCCGATTCCAAACTTTATTTTCATCACGTCACAGACGTAACTTGATTAAAATAAATGGATTTTGATCAGTAAAATAAAGTTGCATAATTTACAATGACATATGGCTTGGAACACCACGTGACACATCACTTCTGAGCTACGTTACTTTTACATTTATAGTTTTTTTTTGTTTTTTTTTAATATTTTGTAATAATATCCCTGCAGCTAAATGATGTAACTAAACTATGTTGAACTAATATCTCGGAATAAATTTTGCTTTATTCAGAACTAAATGCCTTTTATACATAACTGACGTCTCTGATT